CCCCCCCCTCCGCCACACCTTCAGCGAGCGGCGCGGGAAGGGTTAAACGGCGGGGGGGCTCCCGGGAGGAGCTGCGCAAAGCAAGCGGCGAGGAGGCCGGACAGATTTGCCTCCTCCGCGCTGCTGCTGCTGCTGCTGCTGCTGTTGCTTTTGGCCAAAGCCACCCAGCGGTCGCCGCAGTGCCCGGCTGGGCTGTGCTGCTGCCATGCCGCTGCTGCCTCCCCGCTCGGGTCCCGGGCAGCTCGCTCTCTGCCCGGCGCGGCTGCCCGGCTCGCGGCCGCTCTGAGCCCGGCACCGGCCCGCGCGCTGCCGCCGCCGCCGCCGCCGCCGCAGGATGGTGCAGAAGTCGCGCAACGGGGGCGTGTATCCGGGCACCTCGGGCGAGAAGAAGGTGGGCTTCGTGGGGCTGGACCCCGGCGCCCCCGAGTCCTCCCGCGACGGGGCCCTGCTGATCGCCGGCTCCGAGGGCGGCGGCGGCGGCGGGGACGGCGGCGGCGGCGGCAAACGCGGCTCCATCCTCAGCAAGCCCCGCTCGGCCGTCAGCGGGAAGCCGCCCAAGAGGAACGCTTTCTACCGCAAGCTCCAGAATTTCCTCTACAACGTGCTGGAAAGGCCCCGCGGCTGGGCGTTCATCTACCACGCTTACGTGTGAGTAAAGGGAGCGGAGGGGGGGTGGGGAGGCTGCGGCGCGCCCGGCTCCGTCGCACCGGCCCCGGCCCAGCCCTGGACGGCCCACCCGCAGCCTCCCCGCGCGGGGGTCGCTCTCCGTCCGCGCCGCTTTCGCCGCTGCGGCCGCTTCCTTTTGGGGAGATTTCTGTTTCTTTCCCAGGAAATCCCTTCCTTCCTTCCCCACTTCCCTCCTTCTTTCCTTCCTTTCATCTTCCTTTGCATCCTCCCTCCTTTCTCTCCTCCCTCCCTCGCTCCCTCCCCCTTTCCTTCCCCACATCCTCCCTCCTTCCTTCCCCACTTCCATCCTCTTTTCCATTCTCCCTTCTTTCCTCCCTTTCATCTTCCTTTGCATCCTCCCTCCTTTCTCTCCTCCCTCCCCCTCCTCCTTTCCTTCCCCACTTCCCCACATCCTCCCTCCTTCCTTCCCCACTCCCGTCCTCTTTTCCATCCTCCCTTCTTTCCTCCCTTTCATCTTCCTTTGCATCCTCCCTCCTTTCTCTCCTCCCTCCCTCCCTCCCTCCTCCTCCTCCTTTCCTTCCCCACTTCCCCACATCCTCCCTCCTTCTTTCCCCACTCCCGTCCTCTTTTCCATCCTTCTTTCCTCCCTTTCATCTTTCTTTGCATCCTCCCTCCTTTCTCTCCTCCCTCCCTCGGTCCCTCCCTCCCTCCTCCCTCCTTTCTTTCCCTCTTCCATCCTCCCTCCCTCCCTCCTTCCTTCCCCACTTTTACCCTCCCATCCTCCCTCCCTCTCCTTCTTCCCATCTCTGTCTCCTCTCCTCCCTGCATCCCATCTTTCTCTTTTAGAATAGAATGAATGAGCTCTCTTACTCAAGCAGGAGAACCTATACATTTCATTTTCCTTCCTTCCTTCCTTCCTTCCTTCCTTCCTTCCTTCCTTCCTTCCTTCCTTCCTTCCTTCCTTCCTTCCTATCCTCCCTCCCTCTCCTCCCACCATCCCATTTTTCTCTTTTCCTTCCTTCCTTCCTTCCTTCCTTCCTTCCTTCCTTCCTTCCTTCCTTCCT